CGAGGCCAGGCGCGGGCGCGCTCCAACCTCCTCCTCTTCCTCCTCCCGCCCCTCCTCAACACCCCGCCCTCGCCCTCCCTTCCTCTTCCTCCTTTCGCTTTCGCGTGCCCAGCGACTGCTCGCGCTTGCTAGAAGGGCCCGAGCGCGTGCATCTGCCCCGCGGCCGCAGCTCGGCAGCATTTGCTCCAGGGGGCGGGGACCGGGAGGGGAGGAGGGGCGCCACGCCGCCGTCCAAAGTACCGGCGGACGGGAACTGGGGCGGGGAGAGGGGCGGGGCCTCCGTGGACGAACCCGGCCAATCGCGGCGTCCCCTCGGCCCGGGAGGCCCAATAGGCTGGGGGTGGGTGGGGCAGCGTTCAAGGTGAGGTGCGCGGTGCGCCAGGGGCGGAGACTTGGTGCCGTCCCGGCCGGCTCGGGGGCGGGGGCAACGGGGTGGCGTCGAAAGAGAGCGCCGGCTCCCAGCCGAGCCTGGGACGCCTTCCGGCCCAGGCACCCCCGCCCTTCCCGCGGGGCTCCCCGCTCTGCTCCCCGGCCGCTCCCCACTTTGACCCCGAGGCATGCAGTCACTTGTGTGAGGAGGATGGGCTTGAAGTGGGGTGCAGTTAGGCACTCGGGACGGAAACCCCTTAGGAGGGGCTGGTCTGGATTCGTTCTCCGGGTTTCTGGGTGGGTCGCTCCCCACCCTAGGCCTCCGAACCGAGGGAAGCGGAGGGGAGAGGGTCCGCTGCCCGGCGCGAGCTGCGCCCTTCGGAGCGGAGCGCGCTCCCCGCCCTCATCCGAATTTAGATCCCACACCTGCTCGCCTTTCCTGCTTCCGGAGCCCACGCTGGACCCTCCACCTCTCAGACAGCCTGCTTGGCACGGGCCGGGCTCTGCCTACACGAAGTGCTGCTCCGCTGGGAGTGCCCTTCCCCGCATGCTCTCGCCTCTCTCTTTACCTTCGGGAGGAAAGGTCCTTTGCTCGGCCACTGGAGGTGTTTAGATATGCGCTCACATCTAGGTGGCCGGGGCTGCCGCCTTGGGACTTGTGTGACAGCCCTATCGCTTCAGATAAGATCAGACTCTGAAATCACATACTTGGAGACCATCATTGGCTCTTTCAGTCTTCAGCAAACGTTTGTGGAGGCCAGTTGGTAGATATTTCGAAGCAGTGGAAACCACACATTATTAGCCCGGTGGTGGTGGCGCACGCCTTTGATCCCAACACTCTGTAGGCAAAGCCAGGTGGATCTCTGTGAGTTCGAGGCCAGCCTGGGCTACCAAGTGAGTTCCAGGAAAGGCGCAAAGCTACACAGAGAAACCCTGTCTGGAAACACCCCCCCCCCCAGTGGGGGGAAAAACATGTTCTGAACTTAACTGGTTTAACTAGGCAAACGAGCCTCTTGTGCCTCAATTTCTCCCATAATGATAGTACCTATCACATTGTGAAGACTAACAAATAGATTTTGCCACACCTTTTATCACACTACGGAGGCAGAGGCAGGAGGATCAGATGAGGCCAGCCTGGTCTACATAAATACATAGTTAGACCCTGTCTCAGAAACAACAAGCTAACATGGAAGTCAGTGTGTGGGAGACTCCTGTCATCTCGAGTGCCTGATAAATCTTAACTTTGGTTTCTTACTCCATTGACACATGGTCTCATGTAGCCCATCCTGCCTCAGCCTCCCGAGAGCTGGCATTACAGTACTATGCTGTCACAGCAATTAGCTGTTACTCTCACTTTCTCTCTCTCTTTTTTAACTGGAGAGACAGCTGTGGGTGTGGGTGTTGAGAACCAAACGCTTGTCCTTTTGGTTGTGAACCCAGCTTTTAAAGGCTGAGCCGTCTCTCCAGCGCTAGCCGTTATTCCCCCCCCCCTTTTTTTTTTGAGACAGGGTTTCTCTGTGTAGTTTTGGTGCCTGTCCTGGAACTCACTCTGTAGACCAGGCTGGCCTTAAACTCAGATCTGCCTGGCTCTGCCTCCCGAGTGCTGGGATTAAAAGGCGTGCGCCGCCGCCGCCGCCGCCGCCACCACCACCCGGCTTTTCCCCTCTATTTTTAAGTGATTCTTTATAGTGTCTTCACCTTCATTATAACATTTTTCCTTTTAAAAAATGTTATTCTTAGCCGGGCGGTGGTGGCGCATGCCTTTAATCCCAGCACTAGGGAGGCAGAGGCAGGAGGATCTTTGTGAGTTCGAGGCCAGCCTGGGCTACCAAGTGAGTTCCAGGAAAGGTGCAAAGCTACACAGAGAAACCCTGTCTCGAAAAACCAAAAAAA